ATGTTTGATTAGAAGAGTCAAATTATTCTATCACGTAGATACTTAATGAATAAGATTCAAATTACGTTCTTTATTCTTTATGACTATTAATATCAACATTGAATTATACGTCTAGGGGCAAGCAGAAGACTCAAACTTTCTTAGGACAAAATACAATTTCGAAAGAAAGAAAATTGATATCAATGTGCTCTGAAAAAAAATACGTCATTGTATCTTTGTCATGATTCAGCTTGAAATATTTATTGATCAAAAAATTAAAGGTCGAAGGTTCAAACACATATTAATGGAAATTTAATGAATAAAAATATAAACCAAATGTTGCATTATTTACCTATGTGCTTAAAAAGTATGGGTGTGCGTCTTTTCTTGTGTGACATTCACACTCAAAAAATGTTTCTTCAGCGTCTAGTTCTCCATTTGTTTACGAATTTTGCTAAGCCAGTATCAAATTTCTCGTAGCAACTTAAATGAGAAAAAGAAATATTTTGATCAGTGATCATTTATGCGCATTAACTATTTGCTTATGATCTCGGGAAGATAGTGAATCAGAACAGCCAAGCTTAGATGTATGATAATAATATTAAGGTTAGTTACGCTCTCACGAACTTCAACAGTCAGTCTTTGAGATGACTCTCGTAGTTGTCGAAAAAAAATTCGTATTTGAAAAATGATACTCCCAAAACTCATAAATTTATTGTAAATCTAAAGTTGTATATCTTTCCCTTGTCTTAGTCGAGAGATTGGTTTTATTATCTTTTTCAACTAGTTTCAACTTCCTCAGACAATATTGAAATGTTCCTAGCTTCTTCTTTATTCGATTTTCATTTGTTTTATTTGATTATTATTTATTAATCATTTTTAAAATAAAGAACATATGAATCAATGAAAAGTTTTGTCCATAATTGTGATATTAGTTACGTGTTGCAGCTATTCTTCTTTGTTGTACATGTTCGTATCCAGTAATTGGGGCATATTTTGATTGTTGCTCTATACATTTTTTGCATGGCAACACTTGAATAACACAATTCATATCTGGCCCACTAAAGAATAGTACTGAATATCTTAATTGTTTTACAGCTGCAACACGATGTAATATAGATATCCAGTAATTATTTGTCCATCTTTCAATAAATTCACCGCCAAGTAATAATAAAGTGTCTGGTTTAGATTCTACACGAAACCATCTTCCATTTACGTTCACTTCTAAACCTAAAAAATAAAGAATATCCCAGTAATATTTCTTAGTATCAATAGAAAAAAAACAGACTTCATTTACAAACATGATAGATTTCTCTGACAAAAGAATGATCTCAAGTATCCAATCACTTTTCATATAAAAGTGATGAGCTTATATGTAGTCGAGAAAACGGATTCCGAATATGTTAGTTAGAACTGCCATTTGAGCATTGAAAAAAAACGGTTTTTTACTGTAAACATTTTTTCTAGATTTTAGTTTAGATCTGTTCGGGTTGTAAACTAGTACCAGATTCATATCTGAAATAGGCTCCAAAAGTCTAAAAAATTTAATGGGGCCGATTTTTCTCAAAAATAATTAGAATATGGAAGAAAATGCTATGTTTCTGTTTCCTCTATCTTCTGACAAATGTAGCTAGATGCAATATTCTTTTTAATTTTGACGTAAAAGAGAAAGAAGTTTTCCTCCTTTGCGTACCTGGTACATAATCATTTTGTATTAATGTAAATCCAAGATAATCTTGATGTTCACCGAAAGCTAATTGTTCTTCAGTTTTCATTGGTAAATATTTAGTTAATCTTAAAGTAAACATAGCATTATCATTCGTATAATTTTGATCGAATGTGTTTTCATCTAATTCCAATGCCATATCAGCAATACTATGAACATAAGAAATTAATTGCCTTGCTTTTAATATATATTCTGGTATAACATCACGAAATAATTTAGGTAATTGATCAATAGAAAAACTTAATTGTTTTGATTGAAATTTGACAGGGTATAAAAAAGCTTCGATAGAATCAGAAGGTGATGCTTTTTTCTCTCCCTTATAATTGGCAACAGACTCTAATCCTGTTGGTTTATATCCCAGTGTATCATAATATGAGCCATTCACATAATATTTCAGTTTTGTTTCCAAATTTAATGAAAAAAATTCTTTTGCTTTATCCATTAATTCTGATGTAATATTATTATTTATTAATCGAATAACCCCATATTCATGAAAAGTTTTATCAAATAATAATGCAATTTCTTTTTTCTCTTCATTTGTACCACTTATAAACTTTGACATATCAATTTCATTAATGTCTAATACACACATATTATCACATTGGTTTTGATTATAATCATTATCAAATGTATAAACATACATTATAGAGAGAAAAATAATAATAAATTTCATATTGGAGAGTCCAGGAAAAAATAAATATATCTAAAGCATGAACAATAAAACAGAGTCCACGTACATTTTTTAGAAGATTAAGCCATACAGAGACGAGAATTTTTCTAGAGATATCAATGTATAAGCACACATTAAGAGAAGGTTGCTGAGCTCATCAAGAAATCATGTCACAAGATCAAATTCAAGACTGTAATCTCAATATGCCTATTCGATAGCTCTTGTCTAGGAACCTCTATTGTCAAATTTGTAAACCAAAAAAACTTTTTTTGATCAACATGTGAGATTTTTAAAAGCACACTGTTTTCAATCTTCTCGAAAGTCAGGTATCTCGTATTTCCCTTCTTTCTTAGCCATTTCGTAATGGATTATTTTTGAGAGAACGTCTCATTCGAAACAGCAGGAAAAGCTTTCAGTTTCTGAATATTTGGAAAAACTGTGAAGCTAAGACTTATTATGTAAAAATTTGAGATCTCTCGCTTATAGAGAAAACAAGTTTCTACAAAATGCATTATAGCTTAAATGTTAAAAATCTCAGGAAGGTGACCGAAAGTGCAATATATAAAAGTGATTACTAAAACTTTTCTCATCTTCGGCGACTTAAAATATTAAAAGTTCATTTTCAAGCAAAATCTATGTTACATTTTAAGTCAGTACGAAAAACTGGGTTGAAGGACATGTTTTATTGAAAACAATTTTTCATCAAAATTTCACCTCTACTCTGCTGCAGTTCTTGTTTTGATGCATTTCGCCTAGTCGAATCACTTTTTGGTGTTGATCTCGAATGTGACATGGATTTTGCTAGAAAATGAATTCTTGATATCTTAAGTCGTCGAAAACGAGGACATTTTTAGTACTCACTGTTAGTATTATGCATTTTGGATCTTCTTCCTAAGGCTTTTTAAAACACGAACAATAGCAGATAGATCGATATGACAGATATATAGATATGAAGACGGAAAGATAGACAGAATGGTAAATAGATAGCTAGATGGATAAAAAGGGAACAGTACATGAAATCAGCGAATATAATGTAGCGTGAACCATCTCTATATCTACAGAACCTTTTTTACAGGTTTCTGGAAAAGATTTGGTGCGGAAACAGCTTCATATGGAACCAAAAAATGATTTCCAGTTTGTATCTATGTGAAGAATCTTTTTTTGCTTCTGTGTGGAACTTATTTTTAGAGAGTTCGATAAAAGTGCTCTAACACCCTAATTGTGTTGCTTTTTGAGTGTGTCCATCTTCTGTTGAACAGAAGCATTGGTATTTCACTTGCCCGCACGAAACCATCAAAGTAGAACAACATCAGGATTGTCAACGCTGATCAAATAAAGAAGTGCTTCCACGTAGACCGAATCTACGATGTGACTAAGAACGACAATCTATAGTTACAGATAGCATTCGTAAGAGCTATCCAATAACTTTCGAGAGTTTCTTTTTGGGTTCTGTCAATATTATTTTTAGGAATTTTTGCAATATATGCAAATACATTACATGTTTGTTTATTCCCTACAAGTTATAGGACATACTACAGTGGTGTTTTTTCCTTCTATGTTCTCGTACATTGTATATGGATTTATTTATTTCCCTTGTGCATGACAAGAGTATGTGTGTCCTCTTATTTTCTTTTGATGTGTGATCTTTTCATTATTCTTCTCCTCATATACTTTGTGGTAAGTGTTATTGAATAAAACTAGACTCATGCTCACAAATTCATAAATCCTACAAGTATCTAATGCAAAATCAGTTGATAGATCTGTTCTCAATTGATTTTTCACTTACTAACATGCCCGTAATTGTTTGCAACCATTTGCGCAGGGGTGAAAATGAATCGCATGGTAGATAAAATCTCGTCAACGATCCTGCGCAATTCATAACAAAATTCAGAGATAAGAAAGATACACTGATAGTTTGATGTATTCAATTTTGCTTCGTCATGGCCTCAAATGCAAAATTAACTTTTTAAAAGAATTTTGCAGCTTTTTAGAGACGACATTGGACAGTCCTTGCGTTTGGACGAGTGAGACTTCCTTTTTTTGGAAGGAAACGGATCGAATACATCTAACTTTTACGATTCAAAATTTCTAACTTCAAACGGAACGATTTGCCGAGGGTGTGGGTGTGGGTGTGGGTGTGGGTGTGGGCATGGACAGATGTGGATAAGGCTTTGGGTGAGAATATCTTTTCTTCACTTTCACCCACATCTATTTTATGCAGCAAGTATGTCATTTATTTTAGCCGAAACGTTTTGTTCTTTTCTATTTTCTAGTGCTCAATCTCATCATGTCTCGTGATCGTTCATTGTTTAACAGCATCATCGACAACACACAAATAGGTAAGCATTGCTTTTATTTCTTTTAGAGCTTGAGATTGGGGCAATCCTCAAACAAACTGTAGGTGTGGACGTGAGCACATAGAAACCTAACACTCATATATAATGCCAACACCCACACCTGCATTCACCTACCCTCCTACAGTAAACAATTACGATTTGAAAGATAACTATGTCATTCAAAGTAATTGTAGCCATTTATTGTGATATAAAATATTTTTTGAAATTCCAAAAAAAAGAGAAAAATTCACGGAAAGTCGTACTATAAAATTTAGCTATCACATCTTGTTCAGCTCAAATTTGAAAATCTAATTAATGTAAGATCTCCATGAAGAATTTCATCCCATGTATAATCGGACGAACTGATTATATTAAAATGGCGATCAAGTTCATCCATACGGTTTAGACCCAACTTTTCGAATGCTTCTCGTAATAAGCGTAATGTACGAATACGATGAAATCTAACTAAACAATCTTCTTCATTATCAGGCCATCGATCATCAACATCAGCTATCTGTTTTAAATATATGGGACATCGATTAGGATTACAATCCCATTGAACATTATGATCATGTATTCCATTTTCTCCACCTTGTTCTCTATCACAATCTTCAACTTTTTTTCCACAAAAGTAACACCATACTTGTGCACATGTTGGACAAGTCATATGTGTACAACCATGATCTTTCATTCCAGCTAAACCACAATTAGGGCAAGGAACTTTTTGACCTAATTCTAAATAGCCATCGACTATTTGTTTGTCATTAGCTAATTCAGCACATATAAAATGTCGTTCCATTTCAGCCAATTCTTCATCAGTAGGATAATTATTTTTAACTTTTGGACAAGCTTTTTGACATGTTAAACATGATACTATATCACATTCTGGACGTGCACAATAAAAAGTATGTGAAGCTTGCTTACTACGTATAGAACCAAACGAACAAAATGGACAATAATCTATCCGTTCGTCTTGTCCAAGAAAATCTTTTGCCCAAACAAAAACAAGCAAATGTTGATTAAATATATTAAGTTGTTCTGGTGTTAGTTGTCGTTCAAATACACAAGGATTCAATTCAACATGACATTGTAGACAACGTAAAGGTATATATTTTTCAGGGTTAGCAAAAACTAAATTAACAATATGACTTGAACATTCCGTACAAAAATGATGACCTTGTACACACTGTATACCAGGTTGATCGAGTTCTAATCCACTTTCGCAGCCTCCACAGATTGTTTTCTTTTTTTCGTCTTTTGGCGCTGTTGTGATGACGGATCTATCTCCTGTAATAGACATTGTTTGTAAATGAAGTCTAAAAAAAATTTGAGTAAGAAAAATGTGCGCAAAAATAACGTATAAATACTTATGAAAAGAGCAGAAAAAGAAAGAGGAAAAAACAAGTATATTACGCCGTTAAGTACGAAAAAAAAAACAAAGACAAAAAGAAAAAGCGGTGCCTCGTGTTCCCCTCGCACCGCATCCCTCTCCCTCCTTGTAATTCGAATCCGACAAAAAACGGCGGTAGGCTGTCACTTTACCAATCAGCTTAATGTATGTTACTGTGATGGTTTTTGAGTGGCCTATCGTGCCATATTTTATCAAGATAACTGAATATTTGTGAAAATGTTTAAAAGTGACAGGACGTAGTTGATACAAATGACGTGTTAGACGAGTTTGGAATTCAGTTCAAATTGAGATAGAAAGTTTGTAATAATCTAATAAGGAATATCAGTAAGCCATAATATTTGATTGACTGCTATTATACTGACTGTTTGGTTTGTTTTTCTGCGATGAGAATAAATTTTCTTTAACATTTGTTCTAACAATAGGGTCATGGGTACATTGATTGTTCATGAAAGATTTTTTAAGGATGCCTTTTCAAAGTATTTATTTGAACCACCCGCGATGGAAGCTGTGCGAGTTTAGGTAAGGGTGTGGGTGTGGGTGTGGGTGTGGGTGGGTGTGGGTGTGGGTGTGGGTGTGGGTGCGCGGATGTGCCCGTGGGCGTGCCCTTACGCACATCCCCGCCCAGCCCCCCACCCGCACCACGACC